TTGGAGGGAATTTTTGAAAAAACTAGCCATTCTGTCTGTGACTAACTTTTTCACATAAGCCAGCTGGAATGAAAGTCTTCCGCGTAGTAATTCTGGAAATTGAAGCCATTACAGCGACTTAGAAAGTGGCACCATACCATCGTGGGCGAAATTTTGTTTTAAAGGACGAATTCACGATGAAAAAGCAACCCATTTCAAATTAACCTAGGGATGGTGAGTGGTACACGAAAGAAGGAAGAACCATGAGAAACGGCCCAGAACCCGAGAAATGGGACCCCTTCCTTGCCCGTTGATTTGAGCATTGATGCGACTCTCATCGCTGTGCCCTCTTCAACACTACGCTCTCTCAGCTATCTAATCACTCGCCACGTATTGAACTACGGCGAGTGATCAGATGATCGGTGGGCGGAGATCGCCGGACCCGCCAGCTTTGAGGCATGATAGGTCGCCGAGGTCAAATTTTTCCATGCGAATTGCGCGTCAGTTCGCACCCTCAGGAGGTCCGTGGGTCCCTCAACTAGGTCAGTTTCCCTTTCTTCGACCTTCATTCTAATCGTGAATTCCTCCTTTAATATACTTTTGTCTCTACTACATTTTCAAATAATTCACTAGTCCTTCCACTTTGCTTAATCTGGGTACGGACTTCTTTCGATAGAAAATTGGCTTTGTTCTTTGAAATTGCACGTCCAACAAATCTCAATAGTTCACACTCACGATTGGGGTACGCCTCCGATTCCGAAGCCGGTTAGCCCTCTGAAGAAGAGCAGTACATAGAAATGTGGTGAGAAAGCACTGATCGCTCCCATTACCGAGGCGACGAGAGTTGAAGCTATCAAGCCCTGAAATAACGCGTTGCTCACACGGGATTTCAAAACGGTTTTTTATCTGCTGTAGGGGCTCTCACAAACGAGAAGGAACTGAGGTTCATTTTCGCTGAGCGGTCCTCTGAGGCCAAAAAAGGATTAAAAAATTTTGCGTAAAGAGAGTGATTTTGCAGCATTGGAGCGTTGTATGGAACTTATAGCGAAGAGTACTCGGTCTTAATATGATTATGACACCTACTATTGGCGCTGGTGCTTGTCAGAGAAAACTCGGAAGCTCTAGTGTAGAGTGCAAAAATTTTGTCATCACGGGGAGCTGAACCTTGGACCATTTCTTCACAACCTTCTCTTCACGGGGCGCTCAGCGAAACTATGTAGAGCTTGGTGTAGTCCACGCATAAGTTCCTATAAATAAAGAAAACCGTTTTGAAAGCGCTCCACACCCCTTAAAGACCTTCTTGTCAAAAACTACTTATAATTTCCTTCTGAAGGCAGAGCTTCCCGTATATGTCGCGGCGATGTCCTTGACACTATCAAGGACTGAAGGCGTACTCGTGGTTAAGGCCAAAGAGGGCAGGGGCAAATTCCAAGCGACCGGCAAAGTGAATAGCTCCCAAAGGGGAAGTTCCTTCGTTCCAGAGAACCAGAAGCGCCTCGAGTGCAGACCACACACCATAAGTGACGACGGCTTCCACAAAATGTAAATGTTTTCTGCCAATGAAATGATTAGCCTGTTGCAGTTGTATTCTATCAGTTGTCACTAATTACAACTCATTTACCAACTATCAGCTATCACTATGAACCACTAGTTACCAGATTTACTTGGAGGCCGTCGTCACTTGTGGTGTGTGGTCTGCACTCGACGAGCACCTGGTTTTAGAAGCAGAGGGTATATCCGACAAGCGTTACCGTGATTTCAACATCATTGGGAAACCATTTGATTACAGAACCCATGGCGCGCTTAATTGCAAAGCATTCGGAGTGTTTACGAGGAGCGAAGCTGTCAAGGAAAATCCTCAGATAATCCAATCTAGAGAAGAGCTCTTCTCAATATTATAATGGGAGGCTACAGCACAACTCACCACCCTCCTGCCGAATCGATCACAAGTCTTGCCCCAGAATGTGCTGCTCAGCATCATGCCGCTGAACACGCATGTGGTGACGAGCGCCTGTTGTACAGGCGACACTCCCCATTCACAAGCGATCGCCGGTGAAAGTAACGACAACAACATCATCTCCATCGCATCGGCCATCTAAAATGAACTGTTTGACAAAATTTGGCCTTGAAAACTAAAGTTATGTAGGCAGATCAAATAACAATTTAAGGCAGTGGCTATAACAGTCGAAAGGAGGTTCGGTTTTGATGACGTCATTGAACGCCACTGGTGGAGGGCGTCAAGATTAGGGTCAATCGTCGCGTTCGCACTTTCCTAAAAATTCTACGACACCCCTCCCCTTTGGGAGTCGAAGCGACCCGTCACCCCTACCATCAGTCCTAGAGGCTCCCCAATACGACACCTCCTCTCTACTACCCCGCCACCATCAACATCATGGCTGTTTCTATAGCATTTGATTCTGAGACCAGTCGACATACCCAACTCCTCCATTTTTTCCTTAGAATCGGCCATCGAGGGGAATGGGGAGCGGCGTAGTATTATAAGCGGCAAATCCACCACCAATTTCTATTTTCGTGAAACTGCCAACCCCGCCTGAAAACCCGTATAAAGGAACCCCTTTTTACGACACTGGTTCCCATTTTTCTCAGAAGCACCTAACCTTGTTCAACCTCAAGTGCGACCCCTCCTCCCGTTCGAATAGTGCGAACGGGCGGCTGGCAATGGTCAAGAGCGGTCCTAACCGGCGTACCGAGCAGGGTCAACCGTCCGTTCGAACAGTTCGAACGGGGGGTCGCATTTGGGCTCTGGGAGGGAAAAGGGGGTCGCATTGCGCGCGCTTTGGTCATCAGGCAGGGCAGAGGTGTGTGTGAAAAAAAGCAAAAAAGTTGCCGTTTCAGTGGTTGTATATACCCCCCCCGCTCGACGGCTATTTTTGGGGAAGAAGTAGGCGGAGTTTCGGAGTTTTAGGTAGGTTTTGGGCTGTGTCAACTGGTCTCAGAATCAAATACTATAGAAGAGGGAGAGGTCGCGGTGGGGGGATGGCTGGTGTTGTATTGGGGGGTCGCAATTGTGCATTGGTGGGGGTCGCAACTGGACCCCTTCCAGAGGGGGGGGGGTCGCAAAATTCCCGAAAATGTTCGAACGTGACGGTTGACCCTGCTAGCGAAGGGGTCTAGTCCCGCCAGACCCTTATTGCTGCCGTGTTAGCTCCCGAAACCACTATGATCACTTTGAGAGGTCAAGAATACTTCGTTTTCGCCTAGCGACAACACAGAAAGTTCCCATTCCTAATAACGCGGAATCGGATGATTTCCATAAATTATTCGAATAGTGTCAAGAGCCGGAAGAAACGCCATTACGGTCTTCGTTTAGGCGTCTCGACATGCGAGGTATCCAGCGGCTAGACCCACGACTTTCTCAGTCCAGCGAAGACCTCCAAAGCGACATGTGGATTACGATTGTCTGAACGCAATCCACATATGTCTCAAAGGAAAGGTGGGATGCAATCAAGCAGAATAAGCTGCACTTAACTGGTGCGACGGAAAAGCCTTACAGAGATGTGGATACTGCATATGTCTTTGCGCCGCAGAATCAAACCTCAGGGAAAATTTGGAGTTGCCCAACCGCCCCCCTGGGTTGCGGACGTCCCACACACAACGTTCACAGTGCTCACAGGTCGTTTAACCTGGTTCATTTCGACAAAAATAAATTGTGCCGTCAAAAATTCAAAACTCTGAGGAGAGGGGAGGAAAGGCGTGAAAATTCAAATTCTGGAGGAAAGTCGCGTCATGTCATGTCTTTCCAAAAAGATGACCCCTCTCTTGAAACTGAAGACGGAATCTGGTCAGGAAAATCGTAGCGGACTGTTGACTTGTGCTCTCGTCAGCTTTCATAGGCATCACATCTCTATTTTACTTTCTTCTAATGGTAAGATTTAGGAAATCCGGAAAAGTGTACAGTGACCATTGGACAAGATTATCCTCCAACTGGATCTCTCAACGACATTAACGGGCTCCACGAAGACCGCTATTCCGTTGCTTAGAATTATTTTCGTTCTTCAAATTATTTTTTCGACCAAATAAAAGAAAGTTTTGGTTCTTCTGAGCCTGTTCAATTTCTTCACTGTATCTTCGCGACTGCTCATTTCCCGCAAAAGCCTCTTCACATCCATCAAAACACATACTTCCCTTCCATTGCAGATATCATTGCAGATACTCTTGTAAGCCTAAAAGACTCCAAGTGGATGATGGATGGCTTGCCTACCCAAGAGCGACAGCTGACGTGAGCTTTGAAATTAAATATCTTTCGGTAACAGGGTTTTCTAATGAAAGAGATGTCATTTACAAACACTGCGTCATTCCAAACGAGCCACTGCAGACAGATTTCCATTTGCTGCACTTCATAAGAACATTTTGTAATTTCACAAACACGTGTGTAAAAATGACATCCCTGCTGATTGTGGCAGGTAATAGGCGTCGTGTACTTCTTTGAAGCAACCTCAGCTCGATAACGTTCGGGCAGTGGTAGCGCATTGGTTAGATCTACCTCATGGTGGTAGCGTATATAGCTCACAAAATCATATCCTATTAAAGCGAGAGATTACGATAAAGTGCGTATGCAGCGTGGAAGTACATGCACCATTGGAAGCAGTAGTCAGGGGCCCAAGGAAACGAAATGTTGCGTTTTTGTGGTCAAAGGTGCGCTAGTTGCAGCGTACAAGGCTTGCCATTCCTTTCTGAGCCCCGCCACGGTCTGTGCTCCGCCCCCAGCAGCAGCGCCCTTCGATTGCCAATGTGACGAGATATTCCACTTCCAGAGTGTATCCTATAACTTTTCATGGGATGCGTGATCAATCAAAGCATGATGCTTGCCGAAATGATAGAGGCTATCAGCAAAACATGTGCAAACGACCTCCTAATTGGTTGCTAGCTCATCCATT